TTGGAATCCTGCAACGAAGGTTTGGATCCTGTAACGGAGATTTTGAAATCCTGTAACAAGGTTTTGGAATCCTGCAACGGAGGTTTTGAGTCCCTGTAACGGAAGGTCACCAAAACGAACACTACTCAACACAGATTTTCTGAGAATCACTCGGCTTAGCAGTAACACAAGGAGAACTACCATGGCCTATACTCACCATGGCTCCTGTCCTCTTGGTCTATAAGGGCTACAGAGGCGCGGCTCCACCTGTAACCCCTCTCTTTATACCCGCGCCTACACCACCTACACTCCCCTCATCTCCCATCCCCCACTCCCCTCTTCCCTCTAACGCCAGACACCACCAGGCTGGAGGGTTGTGATTGGTGGAGGAGGATAGAGAGGGGAGGGGGAGGGAGGGGAGAGATTGAGGGTGATGGGCGTGACCTATATGGAGAGCTACCGGCAAGGCATCTGGGAGGGAGAGGGGAGAAGTGTAGAGGGGAGATAAATGTAGGTAAGTAAGTAGGTAAGCTTATTTAGGTTTAGGTGCACTTAAATACACTTACACAAATTTAGGTGAATACAATTATCCATATCAGACCTAAACGTCGTTGTAACCTGTCTCCTATGTGCTGGTTATTTTTGCATTGTTCCAGTCACGGTACAATGGTCTTTATAGTACATATTTATAAATTACCCACTAGGATAGTCCAGAAAAGTCAGTAACATTCGTTTATATTTCCACTGATGGTACCATTTGATATCATTATAATTTCAAAGCTAGCTAATAGCGAACATGTAAAGAGTATCTGATTATAATTAAAATTTCAAGACATTAAGTAAATTAAAGCTTAAAATTATTAGTTATAGGTAAAAAGGAAAGGAGTTATGATAGAATTAGCTTTGCATATGTGAAATTGCTGTTAGATTTACAAAAATTAACATTAGAAACACTTACAGTGATAGGTACAGGACTGCTAATTATATAGGAAGTCACTCTCCTCTCTTCCTGTAGCTTCATTCATTAGGCGGAGAGGGGAGATAGATGGGTGGAGAAGGGAGATAGATGGGTGGAGAGGGGGGACAGATGGGTGGAGAGAGGGGACAGATGGGTGGAGAGGGAGGGACAGATGGGTTACTGGAGGTCGGGGTACCGTGGGTAAGGCGGCGGGACAGGCTGATGGATAGGGGCGATCAACTAGGGGGACGTGGGACCAGATCCGAGGGACGAGACAGGGGTGGACGATTGGTTGGAGAGGGGACAGATGGGTGGAGAGGGGGGACAGATGGGTGGAGAGGGGGGACAGATGGGTGGAGAGGGGGACAGATGGGTGGAGAGGGGGGACAGATGGGTGGAGAGGGGGGACAGATGGGTGGAGAGGGGGGACAGATGGGTGGAGAGGGGGGACAAATGGGTGGAGAGGGGGGACAGATGGGTGGAGAGGGCACCAGGAAGAGTGAGCTCACAATACACGTCAGTAACACAAGAAACACTGGAGGCTAGCCATGTGAGCCACATCACAAAATTACACAACATTCATTAATGGCGAAGATTCTCTTTGAATTACTAACCCCAGAGGATTTTCAACCCAGAACAACTCAAGAAATCCAGTGGCTTATTTCCCTTTAGGTGTTCCGGTCATTTTCCCCAGGATGCCACCCAGAACTACCAACTCCAAAGTTCACATTTACTGCTAGATAAATATGGGAAGAATGTGTAAGTCAGCGACCCACCTGGAGACAACATTCCCGTAAACTTTAGTAGCATCGCGGAAGCTCTTTTAATGCACTGTTACGCGCCCATCACATAAGTGCCATCAAGACTACGGCAAAGACAAATATTTGTATGCTATGTATGCTAACTTAAATAAAAACTTATGGAACCTTGCATGAGGAAGGCTGAAGTGTTTACCAGGGAGGTTGTACTTACTCCATCAACATTCACATTTCTAATTCTAACTTCCTCCTTTTTTTCTCCTCGAACACTTCACTGATGTCAAGAATTTATAGTTTGTTACACTTGAAGCTTATCAGCTACACCTGGATCATTAAGGCTGAAATTATTCTGAACACCAGCATCAAGACGCTGTAATCCTTAGCATATACAGAATAAAGGTCATATCTCATATCATATACGCTAAGAGACATCAGTCTCGGTATAAGTACTCTGTGTATATAACTACCCGGGGCTCACATAGGCCTCGTAATCGCCTCATTAATCCTTAAAGCCACAATTCACCCAGTTGCTAAGAATCAAAGATTCATTAAGGTGCCCCGGGACCTGGTGGCAAAAGCTTTCACTTCACACGGTGAGGGTCGGGGTTCGATTCCCGGGGCGAAAGGGTAGAAACATCGGACGTGTTTCCTTACACTGGTTGTCTATGTTCACCCATCAGTAAAATGGGTACCTGGGTGTTAGTCGACTGGTGTGGGCCGTATTCTGGGACAAAACTGACCTAATTTGCCCGAAATGCTCTGCATAACAAGGGGCTTTCTATATAGTAGTACGTCATTGATGTCAGCTAGGCCTGTATACCTTATACATGTACGTGTAGTAAATAAAGATATTATTATAAAGGAGGAAATAGTAAAGGAGAAAATAGTAAATTCGCACTCAGATGTGTGGTCTAGTGGTCTAAAGCGTCATGCATTTTCTCTCACCATGAGCCGGGCCAAGACAGCATGGGTTCGACTCCTTGGCTAGTGCAGTGTTGATATATATTTATATATATACGGAGAATAATTGCAGTCAACAGGATTCGAAGTCACGACAGGAAGGCTGGCAAGGTTCCCAAGTGACGCTCTATTCCACTCGCCCACAGATGCCTCAAAAGCTGGGCTGCCTTGTTTACAAACCATGTATACACCTTGAAATATACTTCTCGTTGTATATACACCTAAGGATATATGTCTGTGTAAATGCAATTTGAGTGCTCGAAGGCAGACATTGAGCATCCCTCTGTGACTCCTGCATATGGTCTGATGTAGACTTTTCCAGCCCAGTGGAGGGCTCTTAATCCATGGAATTAGAGCTACCCTTCCCTTCCATGGATCAAATCTGATTTACTCTTTATTCCAAGACGGTGTGTGACCACAACGGGATCACACCACCTTGGAGTAAAGCCGCTCTGTGGTCTAACCATTTTCCCGTAATATTATGTTCTTTGCCAGATATAGAATATTACGCAAAATTTTTCAAATAACTGATTATTAATCCAGCCGTGATATTTAAGACGATGTGACCAGCTCTTGTGACCACAGACACACACACACACACACACACACACACACACACTAATAACTTACCAGGATGACTCAGACGGGAACCGGGTCAAAATTTTTACCTCACGACGCGGTCTAAAAATAACTCGTGTTTACATGATTAGATTTCACACTCACTGGCATTCAATACCACGCAAAGTAAAAAAATAATCCTTTTGAATAAATAAAGCAAAATTGTTATTGAAACTTTGCTTTAAGGCGATAAACATTATCATTGTGATGGTATATACTGTAAATCTGGCGACAAACGTTAAAAAATGTCGATGAACGTTAAAAACATGGCGATAAACGTTAAAAGTATGGCGATAAAGTTAAAATATGTCGATAAACGTTAAAGATATGGCGATAAACCATATATATATTTGATGGTAAACGTCATTAACTTTATAAAGCTCCACACAGCGAAACGTTACCACAAAAATAAGTCAACACTGCTTCTGCCTTGTCAACCAATCAACCAAGGTTCAGTGTGATGATTAAGGCACGTTTCGCCTACACAGTAGGTCTTCTTCAGTCAACACAGAGACAGCAGGTGTAGTAATGAAGATGGTGTGATCAGTCCATCAACCTTGGAGAAAAAGCATTTGAGGTGGTCAGTCCCTCAGGGTATATTGTGACTTATTCTTGGAGTGTAAAGTTAATTTATCAACACTCACAGGGGAGTCAGCGGGTGTTGCTTGCTATCTGGATGACACAGCTGGTTAGTGTTGTGGCTGTTAAAACATCTGTGCTACTTGGCAAACACTGTGTGTGTGTGTGTGTGTGTGTGTGTGTGTGTGTGTGTGTGTGTGTGTGTGTGTTGTGTGTGTGTGTGTGTGTGTGTGTGTGTGTGTGTGTTTGTGTGTGTACTCACCTAGTTGAGGTTGCGGGGGTCGAGTCCGAGCTCCTGGCCCCGCCTCTTCACTGATCGCTACTAAGTCACTCTCTCTGAACCGTGAGCTTTATCATACCTCTGCTTAAAGCTATGTATGGATCCTGCCTCCACTACATCGCTTCCCAAACTATTCCACTTACTGACTACTCTGTGGCTGAAGAAATACTTCCTAACATCCCTGTGATTCATCTGTGTCTTCAACTTCCAACTGTGTCCCCTTGTTACTGTGTCCAATCTCTGGAACATCCTGTCTTTGTCCACCTTGTCAATTCCTCTCAGTATTTTGTATGTCGTTATCATGTCCCCCCTATCTCTCCTGTCCTCCAGTGTCGTCAGGTTGATTTCCCTTAACCTCTCCTCGTAGGACATACCTCTTAAGATCTGGGACTAGTCTTGTTGCAAACCTTTGCACTTTCTCTAGTTTCTTCACGTGCTTGGCTAGGTGTGGGTTCCAAACTGGTGCCGCATACTCCAATATGGCCTAACGTACACGGTGTACAGGGTCCTGAACGATTCCTTATTAAGATGTCGGAATGCTGTTCTGAGGTTTGCTAGGCGCCCATATGCTGCAGCAGTTATTTGATTGATGTGCGCTTCAGGAGATGTGCCTGGTGTTATACTCACCCCAAGATCTTTTTCCTTGAGTGAGGTTTGTAGTCTCTGACCCCCTAGACTGTACTCCGTCTGCGGTCTTCTTTGCCCTTCCCCAATCTTCATGACTTTGCATTTGGTGGGATTGAACTCCAGGAGCCAATTGCTGGACCAGGTCTGCAGCCTGTCCAGATCCCTTTGTAGTTCTGCCTGGTCTTCGATCGAGTGAATTCTTCTCATCAACTTCACGTCATCTGCAAACAGGGACACCTCAGAGTCTATTCCTTCCTTCATGTCGTTCACAAATACCAGAAACAGCACTGGTCCTAGGACTGACCCCTGTGGGACCCCGCTGGTCACAGGTGCCCACTCTGACACCTCGCCACGTACCATGACTCGCTGCTGTCTTCCTGACAAGTATTCCCTGATCCATTGTAGTGCCTTCCCTGTTATCCCTGCTTGGTCCTCCAGTTTTTGCACCAATCTCTTGTGTGGAACTGAGTCAAACGCCTTCTTGCAGTCCAAGAATATACAATCCACCCACCCCTCTCTCTCTTGTCTTACTGCTGTCACCATGTCATGGAACTCCAGTAAGCTTGTGACACAGGATTTCCCGTCCCTGAAACC